TGGCGACTCTGAAATAAATAAATAAATCCCGTTTCGATTGTTCTTTAATTGGAAAAAACTCCTACGCCCCTCGCAGGGGTGGAAAAAGGAGGTGTGACACCGTGTTCTTCTAAATTCTAGCTTTGACTAAAATTTTATTTTTTGGTTAAACATTTATAACAAAATTTAGGTGAAGTTTCCTTGAGTTTTTGCTTACTTTATTGAAGTTTTGCAAATATACATAGTTGAACTTATAAAGTTGTTAGTGCTGATTATTTTTTTGACAGAGAACTTAAAAATGTTTATAGTTATCACAAAATTACTTTTTGGTCATTTCAAAGAATCATTTATTAATTAAATGATATTTTTATGACCGCGTGAAGCGCGGGCAAATTTACTAGTTTTATAGTAAAAATTTATCATTGTGACTGTTGTCAGATGGAAAAGTCCTCCCGAGTAAAGTAAACATATCTTTATGATTTAGTAAAACTTGATATAACCTTTATTTTGCAGGGTGTCCTAAATGGGTATTCAATTTGACGTTGGTAGCACATGGAAGATTTTACACAAGAGATCGATTAGCCCATTGGGGCATTGCTAACAATTTGGTTTGTCCATTGTGTGAACATGATGATGAATCACTTGATCACTTATTTTTTAAGTGTAACTTCTCTACAGCTCTATGGAATAAATTACTCAGATGGAAAGGAGTGCATAAACAAATTATAGGATGGGTGCAAGAGCAGGAGTGAGCGATTAAATTTGCAAATGGGAAAAACGTAAAAGCAGAAATGTATAGAATAGTGCTGGCATGTAGTGTTTACTATATTTGGCAAGAGAGAAATCAAAGAATATTTCAAGGAAGAAGAAGAACTGTTGACAATCTGAGCAGGCTAATAGTACAAGATATACACTGTCGAGGGAGCCACAACAAGAAGATTACAAATCAACTGGAATCCATGAATTTCTACCCCTGAAAATTGTCCTGGAGGAAAAGAGTTAGAAGAAGAGTAGGATAATATTGACATTTTATTAGTAATGAGTCTGAAGATTTCCTTAGTATTGAATAGATAATATCATAAGCGAGAAGGGGACAGTAGATAAATGTTTAGCAGGTTTCTGGAGGTGAAATGTTGACCATCTTTAGGGGTTTTTGTTATGATTGTACATATTTTGCCCTTGGTAATAAAGTTACTTATTTACCCAAAAAAAAAACCTTTATTTTGCATTTTTATTGGCAAAATACATAAACAGATACATAAAGTTGGCCTTAGATGTCTCTCTCACACTCCAACTTACCGGATGACCATATAGACACTTCAACTTAGCACAGATGTGTCACGTGGCCACCTATGTTTGTAAGTCTACCTGCATGAAATACACTCTCAGCTGACATGTCAAGTCAACAAATGAAATAATGATACGTGTAATCTCAAAATAAAAATATTATCACATTAATAATAACTTGATTAAAAAAAACTCAAAAAGAACAATTCTTCCTTCTTCCAAAAAAACAAAAACAGAAACCCCCTACCCCCTCCCGGTCCCTCCCCCAACTTCTTCTTCTTCTTCTTCTTCTTCATTTTGAAAATCTAAACCAGACCCCTTCCCTCCTCCATCTTCTTCTCTAGCACTCCCTTCACCCTAAAACCAACGACCCTTTTCACCCTAAAACCTCATCGGAAAAGCTCACCTCTGGCGACCTCTCTCTTCATCTCCTTCCCACCTGTGTTTTCTAGTCTCTTTCCCATTATCCTTTCTTTTTACGATTTCGTGCCTTTTTTTTCTCCATGAGTTATTTGATTTACAGTGCAAATGGCCAAACAAAGAAACGAATTGAGTATCTTTTTTTAATTTTTCATTTGTTCTACTTCCTTACTTGATTTTTTGCTTTAATTTGAATCTTATTGGGATTTTTTTATCTTTGTTGAGGTGGAATGTAATGGCATGAGAGTAGGTTGTGGCTTGATTATGATGGTGGCTATGGCTTGATTGGGGATGGAGAAGGCGGGGTTCACATGAAAAAAAATTAAAGTAAAAACATAATTTTATGCATCTTCACCCGCTCAAATATGAGTGAGACACACCCATTTTGCCATGTCACCTCGGAGTGTTTGCGAAACATACTAAAAACCAACGTAAAGTATCTATATGGTCACCTGAGTTGGAGTGTGAGATAGACATTTGTAACTAACTTTAAGTGTGTTTATGTATTTTGCCTTTTTATATTTATATTTTGACCACTAAATGCATAATAGTATCTAAGATCAATAACGTCTTACATAAGATCAATAGCGTCTCGAGAATGACTAATTTGCTTAGCTATAATATCAAAAATAATTACTAAAGAAATCGATTATAAAAGTTTGGACCTCTAATTGTAGTTGCACTTTAGGCCCCCAAGTATATCGAGCCGCCCCTGTCTAGAAGCAGATCAGGAGACAATAGCTGTGATTAGAGCACTAAGGGCCAATGGAGTTTGTATTTTGGTTGTCCAAAATATCTTGTCCTTCTTGTCTGTGCCACTTTTGAAGCCAAAGCAACCAAAATGGCCATTGGTTGCAAAATTGACAAACAACGGAAGAAGAGAACAAGAAGGCCTAGAAAACAGCACGAACTTGGAAACAAGATTGGAGACTTTTGAGGCTCAACTTGACAGCATAAAAGGGATTGGAGGGAACATTTAGGAGCCTAATTAGATCAAGAAGCTTCCTCCTTAATGTTTTCTCCTGCTAATCTGGATGTTCTTACTCCATTATAACTGTATAGTTCACCATATTCTGTTCATGAACAATTTTGTACCTATGCTAGAAATATATTATACTCAAATTGAAAAATTATACTCCAAACTTCGTGTATATATCTTTCTCTCTATCTGGCTTATCTGACTCCCTTCTCCCCCTACCTAAGAAACATCAATCTGAAAAACAAAAATCAGATGTCATAGGAGGACAGTTTAAAGTTTTCTTAACAAAACATATAAAACTTGCTTGACCTGGGATTTTCCAACAAGATGCCTATAGTAGATGCATGTTCTAATTACAGATTTTCATTGTATCTTGTGATTTGGTTCATTAAGTTAATTTAGCAACTGTGTGTTACCCCATTTCTGGCACAAAGTAGTAATTTTTGGTAATTCTTTCTTAGACATTTAGAGGTTGGCCCAGGGAAGACGAAGGAAGTTGGTTTTCAAAAAGTTGTAAAAAGTTAATGAACCACCCGTGCACATCGATGTAAAAATAAAACATGTCTTTAAACGTCTTAAACTTCATCTGGGGTATCTTAGAAAACAATCAGTTTCAGAAAACTGTAACAAGTTTCCTCGTTAGCTGTGGCCTGCGAGCATGTGCTGCAATTATGGAATCTGTAATCTACAGAGCCAACAAGCCAAACGTGTATCAATTTATTAATGTAACAGAAGCTCCTGAAAACGAGACATCAATTACAGATGTTAAGACTCAAAGCTTTATGATATTACAGATGTGCTTACTGATATGATTCAGGAACACAATATGTTTCAGTGTTTGTTTCCTACATTGCATGATTAATGTTCAACTTAAGATTTGCCTGAGGTGCAGCTATCCTATCTGAGTTTGTTAAAACAACTCATTAATTACTCTTATTCTGGCACAAATTAGCAAGTTGTTTAAATTCTATGCCGAACATTTAGCATGAGGTCCTCTTTGGGGAAGACAATGCAAGTGGGGACTATAGTAAGTTCAAAGAAAATACAGGCCACTCGTGCAACGGTATATTCCCAATCAAATTCCTCCGGAAATCATCTGGTTTAAGATTTTCTCTTATTATTAATGAAACACCATCAGTGGAGCCACATCGTTAGCTTTCTTAAACTTTAAACTGATAATAATGACACAATGCGTGTTAGGCATTCAAGAACTGACCTGTAATTGTAACGCATCTGAAGGCAAAGCCATATAGTTCATCTAATTCCTAGCTGTGAATACTGCAATAATCACAAATTATTAGAGTGATTGTCTGCCAAATCTATAGCAGTTTACCAGTTTTAAAGGGGTAACCACATGGTTACATTTACAATCACACTCTCAGCTCTCCTGTGCCTGTTTGTCAATATAAATGACCTTTCTTGGGGCTTATTTCTCATCACAACAGCCCAGTGTTCTTCTCACAAGAAACGAAAATACTACCATGGCTGCTCTTTCTTCTTCAAAATCCTACCACATTCGATCAATCAGTTTGCTAGGACGATCACACCCAAACACTCAAAGAGTGGAAGAGGAGCTTAATAAGCTCAAGACATTGGATACAACAGTTGCACCAGCAGCTGAGACAATCTGTTCTGCTTTATTTGATTTGGAGATGTTACACAAGTGCATGGATGATCTTCTGAATTTGCCTCAAACCCTTAAATCCCTTTCCAAATATCAAAACGGGAAATGGATCGAAGATTTATTGGAAAAATCAGTGAGAATCATTGATGTGTGTGGCACAGCAAGGGATCTAGTTTCTCGAAGCAAGGAAAGTGTAAGAGATCTTCAATCTGCTCTCTCTCAGGAGGAAAGGAGATTCAAGTGCAGAAGCCAGCATTTCTAGATTCACCTCCGTCAGCAAAAAGATCAAGAAAGAAGCTAAAATGTCAATTGTGGCTCTAAAGCAGATGGATCATGACATACAGATATCACCAAATACTCTTGGATGCTGATCAGCAAACAATAGCGATTATTAGAGCATTAAGGGAAGTGAAAAGAATACCATGTGCATTTCAATTTTCCAAATGCTCTTGTTGTCATTATGTATGCCAATTGTGAAACCTAAGCCATCTAAATGGTCAACGATTTCAAGACTGGTTCACAAGGGAAGAATTGCCTGTGAAGACCAAGAAGAAAACATGAACTTTGAAACCAGGCTGGAAATATTTGACGCTCAACTTGAGAGCTTTGAAAATGGATTAGAAGGAATATTTAGGTGCCTGATTAGATCAAGAAGCTCTCTCCTCAAGATCTTTTCTTGCTAATTTAGCATCCTCGTTCCATGAACTGTATAGCTAATCACATATACTATATTTGTATATACAAAATTTTTTGTAGTTGCCCAGAAATATAGAATACTAACGAGAGATTATACTCCAATTCACCTGTCTGTGTATCTTTCCTGTGTGAATCCCCTTCCTCTCTATGCTTAAACAAGGTTGCAAACCAACATATATATGAAAAGCATTAGATCTGATAAGGATCTCACAGGTTAAAACTATAAAGGCTGTTTCACTTACACAAATTAAATAGATAGCTCTACCTTAGATATTCCAGGAGACTCAATAAAAAAGCATAATAAACCTCAAGGATCAACCAGATATAGCTGGCATTAACTTTGCTTTTAGGGAATGAGTTCTAAAATTCTTGTCAATATAGTCTTTTTTGAATCTTCAGGATGTAAAAATCTAAGTCAAGGATAAAAACTGAAACTTTTATAATATTACAGGTGTGCTTACTAATAATTTGATGCTGAAAGCACAATATGTTTCATGGTTGTCCCCTCAAGGTTTGCATAATTGTTCAACTTCTTAATCGCTTCAGTATCCTATTTAGGCTTCTTAAATAGTTGATAATTGGTCTCAGCTACTAAGTTTTTACTCCATTTCTGGGACAACATACCAGGTTCTGTAAACGTATAAGTATATCAGAACAATTAAGCATGAGGTTTTACTCTAGGGAAGACAATGTAAATGAATATTTTTGTATTTCAAACCATTAATTACAAGACATTCGTGCAAAGACATAACATATCAAACTGTCTTTCCTCATTATACATCTTAACCTTCGTTTTTTTTATTAAGTAGAAAGTTCTGGTTAATTTCCTCTTCCTGCATGGTGCATTTTGGGATCAATTATTTTGTTCACAAACACGCCCAACCAGCCATATGTGCATCAATTTAATAGTATCTGCTACATCTCCAATCAACTCCCACCAAAATCCATCTATTTTATGATTTCCTCTAATTATTAGTAATTAATTTCAGCTCCTACCAACGAGACAGCATCTGTGGAGTCACGTTGTTAGCTTCTTTAACTTATCTGGTCAAAATGACATTAGGCATGCAAGAACTGACATGTAACTAACATACCACATTTGAAGGCAAAATTATTCATTCAAATCCATGGCTGTGAACTAATACTGAAGTGAACTAATCACAAATTATTAGAGCAATTGTCAACCAACACTCCTTAATTTTAAAAAAATATGTATATATACTATATAATGACACCCCTTGACTTTGGTGAGTTTATTTCTTTATATTTTGACTCCCCTTAATGAAAATCCTAACTGCCACTGCTTACCAGATTTTTAAGGGATACCGACATGGTCATATTATAGCCACATGCTCATCTGTGTTGCGCCTGTTTGCCAATATAAATGATCTTTCTTGGGGCTTAATTGTTCATCACATTAGCATAGTTTATGCGATACTAGTTAACCCAAGAGGCTGGCGCGGGGACACTAATTTCGCGTTGGGATAAAAAATAATCTCGCCCAGGAATAATATTCACAGCAAATAATAANCTGTTGGGATAAAAAATAATCTCGCCCAAGAATAATATTCACAACAAATAATAATAATACAAGAGAGTAACAATGACACCAAATATTTTAGCGGAATAAAATACAATACTCGAGGGGAGCAATATTATCACTATAATATTACAACTCAGTAGTGTCAAGAGACTACTACAACTTTGAAAGAAATAACACTCTTTATTTAAAACACCTCACTATAATATTACTACCACTCCCTAGTTATCTCACAGACCACAATCTGTGGATTACTCTCACTGCTTTATGCTTCTCTCGTTATTTTGGTGTATCTAGACCGAGGGGGAATCATCTCTATTTATAGGCAAAGTTGCCAACCTTTTAGCCAAACAAATTTGACTTTTGCATTGCTTAGTCGCTCATATGCAATTTTCCTAGCAGCCTGTCTTCTCCAACTTTTTCATCTTCTTCTTTATTTCCTTTGGTAGGTGAAGTATGGGCCCCACAAATCTCTCCCTTAATTTTGATTTTTCTTCTTCATTCCAAGTCTTGTTCTCAATCTTTGAAAATCTTCAAACTTGAGAGCCTTTGTGAAGATATCTGCAACTTGATCATGAGACTTCACATATTTGAGCTCGACTTCCTTCTTGGCAATGAATTCTCTGATGAAATGATATTTTGTATCTATATGCTTGCTTCGATCATGATACACTGGATTCTTCGCGAGTGCCTGTGCTGATTTGTTATCAATACAAATCTCTGTGGCTTCCATTTGTGGCAAATTGAGATCCTTTAATAATCTCCTTATCCAAATAGCATGACAGGTACATGATGTTGTTGTTATATATTCGGCTTCACAAGTCGAGAGAGTAACTATGGACTGTTTCTTTGAACTCCAAGAAATAACAGATTCACCCAACAAAAATACAAAACCAGTTGTACTTTTTCTATCATCAATATCCCATGCATAATCACTATCACAAAATCCCACAAGGTTGAAATCATTAGAAGAAGAATAAAATAACCCAAAATCTATCGTACCTTTTAGGTAACGAAGAATTCTTCTAGTAACCTTTAAGTGAGTAGAGGTAGGAGCCTCCATGAAGTGACTTATTACTCCAACTGCAAAAAGTATATCTGGTCTGGTACAAGTCAAGTACCTCAAACTTCCCACAAGACTTTTGAAGAATGTGGGATCCACTTTTTCTCTTTCATCAAACTTGGACAATTTTGTCCCACTTTCCATCGGTGTGTTCACCGGGTTGCAATCGAGCATGTTGAACTTCTTCAATATCTCCTTTGTATAGCTTTCTTGAGAGATAAAAATTCCATCCTCCATCTGCTTCACTTCTAGGCCCAGGTAATATGACATGGGCCCTACGTCTGTCATCTCGAACTCACTGGACATATCTTTCTTGAAAGCTTCAAACAAACTTGGGTTATTACCCGTGAAAATAAGATCATCAACATAAAGACAAACAATTAAGATATCTCCATTAGTATGAACTTTAAGGTAAAGAGCATATTCATGGAGACAACGAGTAAACCCATTGTCTTGAAAATACTTGTCGATGCAACTATTCCATGCTTGTGGGGCTTGCTTTAATCCATATAAAGCTTTCTTCAACCGCAACACTGTATCTTCATGGTTTTTGACCACGAAGCCTAATGGTTGTTCAACATAGACTTCTTCTTCAAGATAACCATTCAAGAAGGCTGACTTGACATCTAGCTGATGAATCTTCCACTTCATTTGCGCCGCCAAAGAGATCAGCAAACGAATAGTCTCCATGCGG